GAATTCTGGGAGTTGAAGTCCACACATCTTCAAGCTGCCAAGGTTGAGAAATGCTGGTCTAACAAGAAGAACAAAGTTCACTTGAACACAATCGGGGTGACCACAGCAATTCTTCTAAGGTGCAGCAGAAAGGGTGAGGCTTATTGGCTGATATTCAACCCCCCACCCCACCCACACACCCACCCAAAGAAGCATCACTTTTCCTCTTATTCAGGGGTTCCAGGAATTTTTTTTTTTTTTAACTAACAGGTTCTGTGGCTTGAAAAAGTTTGAAACCCCCTGGTTTAATCAATCCCCAATTTCAAGTTTCTTGCATGATCCCTACCTTGTATTTTCAGGAAGGGGGGTCTATGAAAATAAACAGCTTCCCAATGTGACTAGCATCCAATTAACCTCCTTATCCTAACCAGCCTCCTTATGCCTTGGGTGAGGTTTGGGGGCATGGCATCATTTGTTTATTGATCTATCTTTCTGGCCTTCATTTTTGAAGGAGGTCAAGGAAGCAGGCCTTGCTGTTATTTTATTCACACCACAACAGTGTGAGGCGGGTTAAGCAGAGAATTAGTGACTAGTCCACTCCAAGTTGATATGTCAAGCTGGGTTACAAAACAGCATCCTGCTGAGTGTGGAGTCTAAAACTTTAACATTGCAGCACACTGCCTTTCCACAGGGGAATAAGAGTTACACTGACCCTGCTTTATCAAATATGAATTCACGCATGCACACCTACACATAGCTGTATAGATGGGTTTACAAAAAATGGCGACAAAGGGTCACGAAATATAGTAGCTACAGTGTGTGTGTGTGCACAAACCTCTTTCCCTCTGCCCTCACTGCCCCAGAGAATCAGAGTAAATGCATCTCATCATTGAGCTCTAGCACACAAAAATGCATGCCAGGATAAATCTGAAAGCCTTTTAAGATGCCATAAAGCTCATTTTGTATTCGTTGCATAAGGATTACACTCCTGAAATTTGAGAGGGCTGTGACTGAGCATTGACCCTTTCTCTTCTGCCCGAGCAAGGCTGAGCAAAGAAGATCAGATTTCGAGTATTTGCGGCCCCTCAGATAAAACTGGCTGACTTGTTCAGGAACAGGCATTGTGCAAACACATAAAATAAAGTGGCAGATACCCCAGATAAAGTTCTCAGCCAGGAACCTTGAGCTGGACTCAGATTTGGAGGTTAGTAAAGAAATTTGTGGCGAATGGATTCCTATACCCTGCTCTCTGCAAATGATACAAAGTGAAAAGAGTGAAGCAAGCATGTTCATTTATATTCCTGAGATAACTTAATAGAAATTCAGTATTTGCAGCGGAGCTGGAAGAAGGGAACAATGGGGGGGGGGTTCAGAAACTAGTCTGAGAGGCTGTCAGATGGAAGCAGACAAGCACAGAAATAAGCTGATGTAACATTTATTGTACTTTGGAAAAATGTTGCCTGATTTTAAAAACCAAGCTGAGTGGGAAGTAAGCTGAATGCTACAACATCCACTTAAAGCCCTCATTCTTTATATTTTGTAATCTTGGCAGTACTGGTAAGGGAAAGGGGGAACATGGATTTTAGAGAACAGGAAAGCAGAGAGAGAGAGAGAGAGAGAGAGAGAGAGAGAGAGAGAGAGAGAGAGAGAGAGAGAGTAGTAGTAGTAGTAAGAAGAGAGA